CCCAAGGAGAATTAACAAAACAGGGAGCATGTGTTAGAAGCCAGGTGAGTGGGAATTAGACAAGGGGACTGCGGTATCGGGGCGGGGGGGCAGCCGGGGAAGGTGTGGAAAGGTAGCTGAGCTCCGGAATCGTACCTGCCGCTTCCGGGGACCCCCTCGCGAGGGGCCGCACGAGCCACTTCCTGCACATCGTCACATCCCCCCTCCCGCAACTGTCGCATGAAAAAAACATGTGCTTTGAGAGGCAGGTAACTTCCCAGATGGTCAAGCCTAGATTGCAACTCGGATCAGTCTGCCTCCAAAGGCAGGGAGCTTAAGCACTAGACTAAAAGACACGGCCTTGAAGGAACAAACACGGAAGACATTCCAGCCCGGAAACACAGCGGACGCGGGTGTCACGGTGATGCGCGCGGTGTGCCTGCGGACGACGGGTCACCGGCAGCGAGATCGGCGGCACCGACTGACGCCATCTCGCGGAAGCGGCTCCACGACATCCGTCTGTGGAGGAGAAGACTGGAGCTCAAAGGACGCGAGCCATCTTTCCAGTCACAGCAAGCAGCCAGATTAGAACGCACACCCGGTTTATCGGACTCCAACCTACGGTCTGACTGCTGGGAAAAGGCTGGCTTCCAGCAGACACTCTGGCCAAAGCAGAGGAGTGGCAGAGAGAAGCCGGGGTCAAGGTGGGAGGGCAGGTAAGGCCCAGCGGGTGGCCTGAATATTCAAATTCTACCCGATGTCCCTTCCTCTGGCCAGAACTAGCTGGCAGGAACCATGGTCTGCTCGGGAGCTCAGGCCCATCCAGCATCCGGGGAAGAGGCGTGAACAGGGTGGGTGACCTATCCCCAAATGTATTTTAGGAAAATTAGTATGTCCAGGAACCAATTCAAAATTTATTCCAACGGAACTGAAATGAAGACTCAAAACAGTGGACAGAAGATTCCCCTAAACTAGAATCAGAAACAGGTGATGAAAAACTGCACAGGAAACTCTGGCGCTATCTGAACACCTGGGAGGGTGCAAAACAGACCAGGAGCATCCTACGTCCACAAACCGGCTTCTCCCAGAAATGTGAAAAGCACAGCGGGAATGATCAGAAGGAACTTACGCAAATGCTCAAGTTCGGGGACAGTGGGCGAGCTGAGAGGGACAGAGAGCCCGGTGAGAGGCCAGCACGACCCCGCTGTGTCCAGGACAGCTGCCGGCTCCCCAGCGGTGGGGACAGGTCTGCCCCGTTCCCTGCTGTGCCCCCATCACACCCCCACAGACCAGGCGCTCAATACGTATTTTCTGAACAAAGTATTATTATCTGTCTGAATTTAGCCAGCTTGTCCTCAAGGACATCATGACTCAGTCAGACGCCTCGATGAAATTCAAACCCACTCTCCTTACCACATTCTTTCAGAGGCCGTGCAACCCTATTAAAGAAAGAAACGAGGTCGGTTTCACGGGCGTTACTTTCAGCAAAGCAGCCATAGCCCGCCCGGAAGCACAGAGCACGAACAACCCAGCTGGAAGCCGCAGGCCACACGCTCAAAACCGTGTCCCCGGCAGGGTCCCACGCCACTACCGTGGAGGGTTTGGGTTGGGATGGAAAGTCTTCTTTGTGATCGTTCCGTGAGGACTCGGCACCCACACACAGAGCCTCTGGAAAGATCAGAAATAAAACACGAAGGCCGACAGTGAGGCCACGGCAGCATGCTGTCCTCTGCAGATTTCAGGAAGGACAGCGGTGCCTGTGACAGTGAACGTGGATGCTCTGGCCCCTGCTCCCCTTGCTCTCAAACCGCACTACTCTTCCCCGTAGGGGGTCACCCACCCAACTGTCCCGTCAGCTCAGCGGTTAGCACAGCACCCCCTATCGGGCAGCACATCCTTCTCCCTGGTCGCAGGAAATGGCATAGGGAGGGCATGAGGGAGCTGGCCCAGTCCACGTCCCCGGCCACGGTGACCGGTTTGGGAAAGGCCATCTGACCCAACCTGGGTCAGCGAGCATAAGACCAGGATTTTACTGGCAAACTTGCTCCTTTCTTCCGTGAGTGCTAACAGCCAAGTGTGCTGTGGAACCCAAAGCTGCCACGGGCCACTGCGGGCCGCCGCGGGCCACCATGTAGCAACTGGAACACACGGATGACAGCGGAGTCACACAGCAGAGCCAGAGTTGACCCTCATCACTCGGTCCAGTGTATCAAAAGCTCGCCCTTCTGTGGATTTCTCAGTCTCTGAGCCAATAAAATCCCCCTTTCCGTTAAGCCAGGTTGACTCAGATCACGTACTCTCCGTGCAAAGACTCCTGGCTAATCTAGTTGCCTGAGCAGCCCTCACTCTGAGGAGAAGTTCAGCGGAGAGGCGGCCCCTCTACTCTACTTAGCAATCTGCTATTTTGTTAGGTAGCAAACCCCAGGTGGACCTTTGCTCAGGTCACTCCTTTCTAAGCGGCGATGGCTCGAGCAAACCCGAAAGACAAACCGGCTACAGGAGCTACGGCGGGACGGCGGTCTGAGCTCTACTCAGCTCGTCCCACACACTGTGAAGCGAGATTTGTACTTCCCCCAGAACTAGCCCGTTGTTAGCAGCTGATACCGGGGACACCCGCGTCCAGAGTGCGACGCGGGCGGATAACAAAAGGCAGAGGCTGCCTGCTCAAACACCTCTCCCGACAGCAGCGAAGAGCCTCCCCCGCCAGGCGGCAGTTCCAAGAAACCAGACGTAATCCCCTATCCACTTGCAACCCAGACTGCAAGTACCTGCCAAGAACCCATGGGGGGGGAGCAGCTGGTCCCACAACCACGGCGTGGAAACGCACAGAGGAGGAAAGAGTGAAGAGTCTTGGGTAGGCTTCTTTCTACTCGGAGCCAAGCCCCGAATGTCTACATTCGGTAACGTCTGTCCCTTTGCATTTGACGCTTGTATCTGACGTACGCTGCAGGCTGGGGTATTTTTCTACGTACACGCACTTGCTGTCTCCCCGGGTAGAGTGTGAGCCCCCTGAAGTCCAGGACCTCGTCTCTGCAGACCTGACAGTGGCTCACACAACGGAGATGCTCAGGAAACGTTACCGAAATGCCGCATGCTTGGCTAGCAATGAGTTGACAGTAAGACGAGTAATGCTGCCCACGTGCCAAGTCATGCCAGCCACGTGCCAAAAACCATACACGATCAGTTAGCTCACTTCCTTGGCCCGAGTTTATCTAACCAGGAAGTGCAACTAAACTAGGAGGAAAGACCGCGCTTCGTCCTTGCTTTCCAGCAGCTGTACTTACACAGAAATAGAACAGAAGCATAGAAGTTCAGGCTGAGGCATTTTGGCTCAACCTAAAGAACGCACCGCAGAATGGACAGAGCAAAGACAGTGGGCTCGGCCTCCGGAATTTCAGCAGGGGCGTTACAGAGGTGATGTGAGCACTGGAGGAGCAGTTGACACGGAGTCAGACAGAAGTGGACTGTCCTGGGTCCCACCCTCAAGCCTGCGCGTCTGGAGACGCGGCTGCATTAAGTCTGAGCAATGTCAGGGCCTCATCTTATATGCCTGGGCCGCCCCCGAGATATACCACGCCCCTTCATCGTCTCACTGTCTTAAAATGCTTGCAATCTTTCCCCTTAAAAATACGAGAGTCTGATAATGTTGGCATTCATCTGCTCTACTGTGCAGGGCCAGCAGGGAGGTGGTCTGAGTGTACCCTTGGTGCCTAAATGTCTGGCAAAGGGCAGCACTGGACAACAGGGGGAGGTTAAGGAAGCAGAGTAGGTAACCCCCCAAATACCACGAGCCCAGGCTCAATCCCCTCCCGCCCCATCTTACTGATTTTGTAGGTTACGGGGTTACATTGGAAGAGAACAGAAATTGAGAGGCGAGGGCATAATGCTGCTTTGGGTTTCCTTCCAACCACTGAAGTCTTAAAAATATACCTTGAAGAAAGGTTTGGGCCTCGGTGTTACAAACTAGGACTCTTAGCTCGTTTTGTCTTTAGCTCTTTGGCTGCTTCCTAATGATTAAATCTACCGAGTGGCTGCGGGAAGGGAAGAGCATGTGTAAAGGTCCTGTGGTAGAGAAGGCAGAGTGGGGGCGGGAGGCAAGACACTCAGAGGGGCCGGAACGTGGCTTATGCAGGGGGGAGGAGAAAGAGGTGAAGACGACGGCAGTACAGGGCACATCGGGAAGAGCCTCGTTGAGGGGCGTTCCCTTCCACGAGAGGGCGGGCAGCAGAAGTCACCGAGAGACTTTACCCAGGGGACACAAGCAGTCAGATCTGCGTTTCGGGAGTCTTGCTTCACTTACTGTGCGGAGAGTGGACCGACCGGGGAGGAGGGGATACACTGCGCGGCGAGAAAGAGCAGCGAGGAGGCCGTCGCGACAAGCCGGTGGCCGGGACGTCCTGGCGGCGGGGCGCAGGGGGCGGGGGGAGCGGCATGTTCGATACAGCAGGTACGATCGTGGGGACTCGGCGCCAGACCGCGTGACAGGCGTGAGAGGGAGAGAGCAAGCAAGGCTGACCTTGAGACCCCTGCGCGGTCAGCGGGGCGGCTGACGGTAGCGCGGCCGGTGCCACGCCCAGAGAGACACGTGGCGGAAGGGGTTGAGGGAACGTGGCTGCGTCTGGAAGAGGCTGTGTTTGAGAGGCCCACGTGACTTCCAAGAGGCGATGTCCACAAGGCAGCTGCCTGGAGAGGTAAAAGCTTCTAGCGTTAATGGAAATGCGCCCATTAATTCACAGCCCGTCACGGAAATCACGGGAAACGATCACCTTACTCGGGGACAATGTCTAATTCAACCCACAAGGGCAAGAGTCTGAGAAGAGGCATCCGCACTCCTCTCACGGCTGGCACCTGACGGCTTAGAGAGCATCTCACCCTAAGCCAGCTAACAGGGGTGTCTTGGAATGTAAGCACCACAGGGCTCATCCCGGTAAGAAAATCGACCCCCAGTGACCTGCACGTGACCAGTGGGCCACAGTCCCACGGCACCCTCACGTGCCAGTCCCAATACCATTAACACTCGCCTGTGGACAAGGCTTCCTCCCGGACCTCATCCTCTCCAGGCTGAAGGATATTCCAGGACGTCCTGGGAAGTAACGGAATTTCGTCGGGGGACGTCAGTCTCAGCATGTCCATGTGGTTGTTCTGGAACCGGTACCGTGGGATGAAGCAGGTCTTCCCTTGCCGGAAAATGTCCCTGATGATCTCTTCTGTCTCGACTTCGTCTTGCATGCTCAGAAAGATGGAGATTCTTTTCGACTTCTGATACTGACTGTGAGCTATCACCTAAATGGGAAATGATGACAATTACCCTTTTCCTCCAAGATTATACTTGTAAAATCCAGCGGCTCCCCCGATACATTTTGCACGTGCCCCCTTCTCTCTGAGCTTGCACTTCTCCAGCTTCTTCAACTACCCAAACCCAAGGCCGCAAAAGAACGCAGAGAGGTGGAGGGGGGTCAGACGGTGCTGCGTCCTGAAGCCTAGCGCTTGGTTCTGAGACGGCAACCACCTCTCTGACGGCTCTGGCCTCTCTGGCCCGCCTCCTCTAGGACTGAAAACTCATTACAAAGTCGCCGTGGGCCCTGCTGTCCGTGCGGAGAATTCCAGGCTTGGCCTCCAGCCACCTGCTGCGGCCACCTCCGGTCATCCCAAGCTCTGCCTGAGGTTAACTCTGAACCTCGGCTCCCACGACTGCCTGGACAGCCAGGCTTCTCCCCTCCAAAATTCTGCCCATTTAAGCCAACTCAAGCCCTCGCTTCTCCTGACTTCTGCAGAGCACTTACGACACTTAAAAGTTCACGTACAACCTAACACTTATGTAGGATCGGATTGGTTACTAATCGGTGGTACTCTAACCAGTCCGCAGGCTCCTGGGAGCAGAGAACACGCCCTGTAATTCTCTCAGCTCTGTCCACCTCCGTCCCATCGCCTACAACTCTTCTGCTCACATGGGTGTTACAGTGGCACAGAGATGGGGGGCGGATCCTGGAGAGGTGAAGTCCTTCCAGAAACAAGTGCCAAGTTGTGCGAAGGCGGCCCCGAGTCAGAGAACGCCTTCCTGCTCCTTCCTGCTCAGTTTGATGGTGCATCGGGCAGAGAGGGCAGAGCTGTGCCAGCCACACAACAGTTACAATCTCAGAACTGCCCCAGACTCGGAAGTTAGCTCCTGGCTCCCCTTTTGCTCTTGTTCCCTTCCTTTTCTGTTCCTCCGAGCTCAGAAGAAAAAGATACTGCCCCCGAGGCTTATCAACATGACTGGCAGAAACAGACAGGTACAGAAAGTCGAGTTATTCCTAACAGAAAGGAGCACATAGAAATTCAGTAGATGGAGCACAGCAGACCGGTGTCAAGGAAGGAAGTTCACTCCATCTCCGAGGAGTCACAAAGCTGTCATGAGGCTAAAATAAGGCAAAACAAAACAAAACAAAACAAAACAAAACAAAACAAAACAAATGTGAAACCCAGATCATGGG